CAGATATTGTCAGTCCCACAGCTATGTTATTGGTCCCAAGGATCAGAGCTCAAAATATGTACAAAATAGAGATATACAGTGGTATTATGTCAGTATATATTTCCCTGGTGTCCTGACTGTTATTTTCCCTTTGCAGAAGTCATACATACAGTACAGACACAGACATTTTTGAAAGTTTGTTTTTTTCCTAAAACACATTTTTTGATAGCACTGAATTTGACACTTAATTTATTGTTGCAAGATGTTGTTTGCCATCACTCTGCAATCTTTTTAGATGGCTAAAGTTTGTGGTTTGAAAAATTGCTTATATGACATGGCATGTCACTCAGAAACTTTCATATATCCCATCTAGATAGATGGGCCATTTATAGTAAGGCTGATGCACCACCTCTTAAATCCTAAATTTCCCATCACTTAAAACAGTTATATTAGATGAAATATTTGAGACGGTAAATATTATTTGAAGATGCAGATGTTAAAACACTTGTAACCAAACGACATGCTGCATGTGATGATGGTTTTTTTTTCTTTTTTTTCTTCCCCCCCCCCTTTTTTTAAACCCTAGGTTATTGTGGTGTCTATTAAATATACAACAGAGAGATACGGGATGTATGTATGGGGGGAAACGTAGTAGGGATGCACCTGTGATCAAATGACATATTGTATGGGATGATGGGGTTTTTTCCCCCCTTTTTTTTCCTTTTCCCTTTGTTTTTTTTCTATTGTTATGTGATTATGTTGTCTATGTAATAAAAAATAAAATTATATATATATTAAAAAAAAGAAATGGAGTGAATGGCTGGTCTGCACTTGGAAGAACAGTCAATTTGTCCCAGATGGACGTGGGGAGTGGGACGGAAAGATAACCCTGAGGAACCTCTGGCTGGGGTTACCACGAGGAGAAAGAGACAACCAGCAGCTGATTGGTGTGAGGCAGATGAGGAGAACCTTATGATGTCCCAGGCGATGAAGCTCTTTGAAGGGGCTTGGGAGAGGCATCAGGCCCGTGAGAGTGGTCTTGAAAGGGAAGCAGATCTCCATGAAACGGAGGAGAGGTATGCAGAGGGCTTGTTTGACCCTAGAGGAGTGGGGGGGGGCTGAAGGTGGAACTGATCAGGATGACCCAGCTCCGACCCCAGTTGCTGCAGCTAGAAACATTCCAAGAGGGGGAGCCCCCCCCCAGATGCCGGATGGCTAAAGTCCCCCCCTAGGTGTGAAGTTTGGGGGAGAATCAAAGGATCTAGGGTTCTTTATCGTTCAAGTATGGAATTACATGCAAATGTACAGAGACGATTTTCCAAATGAAGCGGCCAAGGTAAGAATAATTACTATGGCATTGGAAAATAAGGCAGCTGCATGGATGGTGACCCTGCATAATGCTGATTCCCCCCGTTGAGAGACTATAATAGATTTATGGCCGTCCTGAGGAAGCGCTTTGATGATCCACTCACGGAGCGCAAAGCAAGAATTAAATTTAAAACTCTCACCCAGGGAAAGAGGTCAGTTGCTGAATATATACAAGAATTTCATGAATTATCTGTGTTTATGAGGGGGTGGTCCAAAGAGGCATTGATGGATCATTTCATGGATGGGTTAAATAAAGAGATATACCAGAACTGTGTAAACACCCCTCCCCTCCGCAGACTGCAACCCTGGTATGAACTGGCTGCGGATGTGGAGATTGACTTAGCCAGAGATAATTACCAAGAGGATAGTGAAAGTGAAAAAGCTATGCTTACCAACCCCCCCCCCCCGGAACCCTTAAAGGAGGGAAAAGTCTGCAAGCAAATCTAAGCCATTCATCTGTTTCCACTGCGGGAAGGAGGGGCACCAAGCAACAAACTGCCGCACCAAGATGACCCCAAAGCCCCCTCTTCGGGGGGGGGGGAGAAAAAGCTAAAGAAACCTCCCAGCAAGAGGAGGGAAACTGTCATGAAGGGGGAGGAACCTAATCTACAGTTCCGCCCTGCCCAGGGGGAAGAGGAATCACCCTCCTCGTCAGAGGAAAGTGAAACTGAATCTGACACCGAACGTCTGGTAAGTTCCCGATCGGGTCCCATGACTATCCCAGTTGAACTTAGGGTGCCCTCTACTGGAGCACAAGAGAAAATGCTGGCTCTTTTAGATTCAGGATGCACACGTTGCATTGTTAGCCCCGAAGTAGTGGAAAAATTGGGCTTGAAACTGAAAACTTTAAAAGTCCCGATTGCTTTTTGCCAGTTGGATGGCTCAATAGCTGGGGGGAGCCCTGATCATTTTGTAACTAAGCCAATAGACATGTGGATGGGAACTCACCAACAGACAATAAACTTTATTGTGGCTCCAGGAATGGACTGGTCTCTTAGATTAGGCTTGCCCTGGCTACATAAATGGAACCCACACATCAATTGGAGGAAGGGATGGTTACGCATCCAATCTGCTACACCCCCTGAGGGAGAGGGTGGCTCCCAAATGGAGTAATGCTGACCCCAACCTAGCAGCCAGGGGGCAAGAAAAAATTGAGGGGGAGGAGAAAATCCCAAAAGAGTATTGGGACCTAAAAGATGTTTTCAATGAAAAATCATCTGATAAATTACCCTCACACCGTGCCACTGATTGCAGCATTGATATTCTCCCTGGGGTAAAACTTCCAAAACCTCAGATTTATTCAATGACCCCCAGTAAAATGGATGAGTTAAGAAAGTTTATTGAGAAAAATTTGCAAAGGGGATTCATTGAACCTGCTAGACCCCGAGTAGCTGCTCTAGTTTTGTTCAGAAAAAAGAAAGATGCCTCCTTTCGTCTATGTGTTAATTACAAGAACCTGAATGCGGTCTGTGTTCAGAACCTCTATTCATTACCTTTAATGAAAGATATGCTGGCCTAATTGGGTAAAGAAAAGATTTTCACGAAATTAGACCTGTGAGAGGCCTATTACAGAGTCAGAATTAAAGAGGGAGATGAATGGAAAACTGCTTTCAACTGCCCTCTTGGTTGTTTTCAATTCTGAGTACTCCCATTTGGCCTGCAGGGGACACCAGCTGTTTTCATGCAACTAATAAATGAGGTTTTGCATGACCACCTGTACAAAGGCGTGATGGTCTATCTTGATGACATCCTTATTTACACNAATTATTTAATAACACAACATGATATTGGCTATGTAATAGTATACATGTGATTATATGTTATGAAAATGGAAAATAAAAAGTTTTTATGATAAAAAAAAATAGCGAGGCCTTCTTATGGCATTATGGAATGACCCAGTATGCTCAGGCAATGGTCATTTACAATGGTAAGACACAATTACAATATGCTACTGTATATGATACTATATATCAAGGGTGTCAAACTCAAGGCCCCGCGCGGTGCTTAGATCTGGCCCTCGCTGCCCTGTTAATAGTGAAGGACCAGCCCGCAGTGTTTCTACCAGAGGAAATGGAGCTTGCGAGGGCTGTGTGAGCTGGCAGAGCACTCGGGACACCACAGGCGCCCCCTGACACAAGTGATGTCATGCTGGCCATGCCCCCTGGCCCCCACCAAGGTCAAACACAACCCTAATGCAGCCCTCAATGAAATTGAGTTTAATATGATATATGATATGATTCAGTTATTGTGAGGAGCCCTACATAGTATAGCATCAAGTTTAAAAATATATGTTTCTATCTTACAGCTCACCGTTCACCTATTAGGATCAAGTACTTATGGAGAGGTAATTCCAGATTCAGACAAAGTGTCAACTCTTGTCCACTCACCTTCGCTGAGGGGCCGGCCTGAGAACCACATCAGATCACTCCTAGCTAAGAGGAAGCCCATGGGAATGTTCCAGCCCGAAGTCCACCTAGCTCCATTATGGCAACTTCGGACTCCTTTGAGCCTTTGGATATCTAGCGTTCCACACTTGGCCACAGCCACTGCAAACACACAGCTACCTAAGATAGGAAAAGTTAAGAGTGGAAACAACATTCACTTGTAGAGAACAAAACTTCCTGTGATGAGGAATCTTTTGCATCAAATATGGTACTTCTGATTGATAAGGAACCTAACCCAAAAGCATTTTGAAACATTCTGTTCTGCAGTATTTTATTTTCTTAGTTTAAATTCAATCCGAAAGAAGTCATTTCAAGTCATGGGATACATCTCCAGCAGAATGACTAATGCCATGGTTTTGTCCAATGAATTTTGTGGACAATATTTGGTGAAAGTATAAGTAAAGTAATACATCTTGACCTTACTGAAATAGTTCTTTATTTACAATGGATGGAGGGATTTAAATATACTTCTCCTTCTGTTAGCTCCAGAGGCCAAACACTCTTTCCTTATACAAGAGTCTCTCTTTCCCAATTCTTCAAAATAAAGCACTGGTACAGCTCTGCTCAATTACCTTCTTAGCTTTCTTCACATTTGCAGAGACTCATAATCTCCATATTTGCTCGGATGAGAGGAAAAGACCTCTGTGGACTTTTAAGCAGAGACGATGGTGTGGCCAAGATCAAGATTCAAGAACCTCTCTGGTTAAAGAGAGGACAAGTAATTACCCACTGGTGCTCCAGATGGCTGCTCCTCATGAAGAGACCACATGACAGTAGTCAACTCATGGATTTGAGTGGCAGGAGATGAGGGAAGCCATTAAGCTCTCAACTGCAGCAGAACATGTGTAGTTACGAGGTTCATCAAGCTGCATTTTCTAAGCACTTTTGGATTATAACTATTTTAAAGTTAAAAGATGTCTTCCCAACCACAAACCTGAAACACTATGTGTTGAGTGATCCTTTATTCCAGAAAGCAGGGAAAAATTAAGCAATACTTTAAGTAAATGGCAAAAAAAAACCTAGATAGGAATTTAATCCAAGAACATTTGAAACAAACTAAGGGTGATTTATGTAATGGAATTATTAATGGTGGTTAAGAAATGCAAAGTTTTCTTGTTATGAAGATTGGAAGCAAGTTCTTTAAACAATTTTTTTAGACCTCTTTTTCTTTCTGCACTTTCCATTTTTCTTTTCTCTATTTTTTTCTTTTTTTAATATCAATTTGTCTTATCTATTGCTTTTATTAACATTTATAATCCTTTTTTGAAATAGTTATAGCCCTGGGTATAGCGTCTAGGTCTAAATTTCACTGGCATCAGTGAGCTTTCCTTGTAAGGAGACCTGCCAGGGTGGGGCAGGTGGCCCAAAGCAATTTTCCTCCCTGGCTTCTTTTCTGAAGAAACTCTGCAGCCTGATCTTTTCCTCCAGTACCAGGACTGGTCAGAACATCCAACCCACAATAGCTTTTTGTCCTAGAAATCCCTCCTCTGTCAACAGCCTTGGACTGGGAGATTCCCTGACTTTCTCTGGACCCTGGTCACTGGTTCTGAAACACCTTGAATAAATGGACATACTGGATTACTTCTGTGGATACTTGTCCCCTGTGCCCTGTCCAATGAACTCTTGAGGAACTTAAGACCATGCAACAGAATGCAATCAATGTTGCTCGCTTCTGGCAAGCACCGCCTAAATTAGGCTTTTGTATATTTTACCTTTTATGTTATGTTTGTACATGCCCACACATAAAATCTTAGCAATGACGCTTCAGATACGAATAAAGAAGATTGGCTCTGGGAAGAAGGTAACTGACCTCCCAAATAGATCTCCTTGGCCACCACAGTCAAGCCATAAAGCTTCACAGCAGAGTAAACATCTCCGGCATCCAAGGAAACTGCATCAGCTTTATTGTCCTGGGAGAGATTTAAAGCAACATTTTTAGTTTCTTGTCTCCCAGCTCTTCTGGTCCATCTGGTTGCTTTTAATTACAGAAAAATATCATTTGCATGATGCAATAGTTCAATGTTTCTCAACCTCGGTGGTGTGGACTTCAATACCCAGAATTTCCCAACCACCCAGGCAGTGGATGTCTTGTGCTTGGTGACCAGGGGATGCAGTGAATGATGGCTGTCTTTTCCTCAGGACCGTTTAGCATCAGGAATCCAGGAAAAAAACACCCAGGAAAAAACCACACACACTTTATTTTTTTTAGGTGCTCAATGCTGATTTTTTAAAATCTGAGTATTACATCTCAGATAACAATGTATTGCAATGGTTAACTAGTAGCCAACAATATATGGACATTAATCTTTTGCAAATGAAGCAGGTACGCTTATTACAGGTAACATGTTTTCCAGTGATCCCACCACTTCACCATTATGGAGTGCTGAGGGAAGGTCTATTTCTTCCATTTTTGACTACCTTGAGCACCTATGTAAATGAAGACTCAATCAACCAGGCCAAAAAAATGGTTAAATCATGGGCTGTTGGTCTGGTTAGATCATGGCAACTGGACCAAAGTTTATTAAACTAAGATGTTTAATTACTTGTTCATTACTTCAGTCCCAATGAAAAATTTATGTTAGGCAGAGAGTCGTTGGAATGCACCAACTTTTGCCGTGATAACTGCAGGGGTTTTCCCCCCAAAATGTATTGTAAAAATTAAAATGTTTAATAAACTTTGGTCCAGTTGCCCTGATTTAACCTTTTTAGAAGCACCTAGGTTACCTAGCTGAGGTTCTTGGAAGATGTTATGCTCACATAGCAAAACACCAGCCTTGAGCACCTTAAAAAGCTGAAGTGCTTGTGCTTCTTTCCTGGATTCTCGATGCCAACAGCCCTGAGGGAAAACCCAGAGGGAGAGACAGCAATCGTTCACTACATCCCAGGGTCACAAAGCACAAGACATCCACCCTGTCATCCCAGCGTAATGAGAGATGCTGTCATGATTAAATAACATGTTCAAAAGGGTGGCATCCTCAACTAAATGAGTTACACCTCAGAGGATCTGTGTCATCTACTCGGTAATTCAGCAGCTCAGGGATGATCTGATAAAGTTGTTTCTCCAAAGAAGTAAATAGTAATTTGTGCTATTCATTTATTTATTTAAATTATTTATTTATTTACAAAGGCAAAATTCTCCTTACTGCTCTTGGGAGCTCTTCTGCTTTTGAAAGGTTTGCTTTTGAAATTATTCTGCCAGTAACACCCCCTCCCCCCCCCCACAAAAAACCCCAACAAGTTGTGTGTTCAGCACATCAGCAGAGCACTCACTCTGCCTCTTCATCCAAGTGTTCAATGAAAATTGTGAAGAATAAAGGACCTGGTCTCATCCTACCAGAATCTTTCCAACGTGATGAGGAACTGTCCTAGAATGGTTTTCACACCAATTTCATATCCCCTTTATTGGTTCTCCTAGCCAGTTGAGGCTTAAATAGTTCACATACAAAGAGAAAGGTGGGTTATAAATGTAATATACATTCCAAATTTAAAAACCGATCAGAATGTCTTGAGATGTACAGATTGTCTCAGTGGCCAAGAGGACCAAGTTTGGCTTCTCTGCCTGAACAGAGGCATCCCAGGCTCACGATTCCAGGTTCCTCCAGGAATATGGGCTTCTTAGTGAGAATGCCCCAATTGCAGTCTGGAGCTCTGCCATGTCCACTGGGCACCAAAAGCTGAACTGGTGACTTCAGTGACTCCTGGAATTTTGAGACACTCACCCGAATTTTGTTGATACAGTCATAAGTGTTGTGGGCTAGGATGCAAGAAACCCTCTTAAAAGGACTGCTGGAGACAGGTGATAAAGCAGACAGAAGCGCTCTGGAGAGCTCAGAGCATTTCTTCTGCTCCAGGGGGGAAAGCGTGCACCAGCGGAGCTTCTTCCCTGCAAGCACATAAAGGTTAAAAACCACCGTCCTTTCAAGCTAAATAGCTTATAGCAACAGACCAACCCAGGTCACCTCCAAATGGCCTAAATGAAAAACCCAGGGTCATGTCCACTTAAGTGTGCTGCACCTTCTTAGTCCTGTCCGCTTTGAGTTGGGGAACCCACAACTGTAGTTAGTCCTATTTGGAAGTCAATAGACCCTTTTCATTCAAAGTCTATTTGTCAGATGACATGTTCTTCATAAGTACTCTCCAACTGTACGAAGCCTAAAATCTTTTACTCAAGAATCAACCCCACTTATGCTTATGCTCTGGGTTATGCAATCACACTCGAGATCTCTCCTTCCATACCCATTCCTCCGCTCTCACTATATTCCTGGCTTATGCCTTCACAATTCTGAAACAAGGGGTGCTCAACACGAGATAAATAGCAGAATGGCTAAGATCCAACTCTATGTCCTTGGAACAATAATAAGACATAGAATAATAGGGCTGGAAGGGTCCTTGGAAGTCTTCTAGTCGTTGGACTGTGGCAGGAGATCAGTGGTGGGTTTCTGCCGGTTCGCACTGGATCGGGAGAACCGGATGGTGAAATTTACAGAACTGGTGAGAGGAGGTTCGACCGGTGGACCCGGAAGTAACTTCTAGAACGCCTGCCCGGGCCCTGTTGCTCCTCGCTCACCCCTGCCCATCTGGAAGCCGCTCCATCGCTCACTCCCCCCACCCATCCGCACTATCCTAGGCCAATTCAGTGTCAAGTCCCATACCCGGGAGTGGAGGTGGTGAACGGAGCAGCATGGAGAGGTCCAGCGGCACAATCCACCAGACAGCAGTGGCAAGCTCAGGGGTTTTCTCCTGGATTCCTCTCTGTCATGCCTCCTCCGATCTCCCAAAGTTCTTTCTCCAAGTGTGATAGCTTTCTACTGGATTCCCCTGTCTTGCCTCCTCCGTTCTCCCAAAGTTCTTTCCACAGCGTGATAGCTTTCTACTGGATTCCCGTGTCGTGTCTCCTCCGTTCTCCCAAAGTTGTTTTCCCAGCATGTGATAGCTTTCTACTGGATTCCACTCTGTCATGCCTCTTCCGTTCTCCCAAAGTTCTTTCCCCAGCATGTGATAGCTTTCTACTGGATTCCACCATCCTGCCTTCTCCGATCTTCCTAATTTCAGCCCTTAATCCTCCAGTTGTCTATTTTTGGGAGGTTTCCCCCTCTCTTCCCCCCCCCCCCCCCCCCCC